CCTAGACTGGCTGGAGTAGTGTGTCAGGAGGTTTAAAGGTAGAGTCCTGGACGGGAGTCGTGGCGGAAGGTCTTGCGGAGTAGCTGGGAGGAAGACGAGGGGCCGAAGGCTGGGGGCGGCTAACCTCGGCGCCCTCTGGTCCGAGGATACGGGAGCCGGCCTCCCAGCTTGGGGAGGATTTGAGCGGGGCGGGTAGCAGGGAGGGGCTTTGCCTCTACCGGCACTCACTGAGGCAGGGCCAGCTGAGCGCCCTGGCAGAGAAGGGGTCTCTGGGCGGGCTGGCCCCTCCTCTCGTTCCCTCCAGGGGATGTTATGTAAGGGGGGAGGGGAGAGGAATAGGGGGCGGCGGTGCGGGGGCCTTATGCAACCCAAAGGTTAGAGTTTCACCGCGGTTGGTGGAGGGAGCGGGCAAGAGGAGGGCCTGGAAACTCTAATCCCCCCTCCCCAGCCTAACTGGCCGTCTTGGGCCGAGAGAAGGTCACCTCTGCACCTCCCCCCAGCCTGTCCGGTTGTGGGGCCCCTAGCCCAGGCCTGGCCCTGACCGCCTGGGAAGCCGGCTGGCTGGGTGGGGCGCCTGGGTTAGTCATCACTGGGCTCCCTCTCTCCCCACCTCTCGGCCAACTCTTGGCCCCTCCCAGTGGCCTCTGGCTAGGCTATCTCCCCCACCTCCCTCTGGCCCTAGTTGCAGGCTCCAACTCATTTGGCCTGTCATCCTGGCTGTTAAGACTGGACTAGGAGCTGTCAGCATGCCAAAGGGTTGATGGAGCAGCTGGTCAGAGGGTCAGTGCCCTGGGCCTACCCCACCCTGCAGCCAAGGGCACCTGCTTGGCACAAACTCTTAGCAGCCGCTGAGACCTATGGGCTGAATAGAGCCGGCTCAGACAGAGGGGAGTGAGAAGGAGTTGCACTGGTCACCTGGGGGAAGAAAGATACCACAAAGTTTATGCCTCCCAAGAGGGTTTTGTAATTTGAAAACCTCCCACTCCCACCCTAATCTTTCTAACCCTCTGAGTATAGAAATCTCAAGGCGAGACCACCTTGGCCCCTCACACTGGCATGGGCCATGCCCTTGGACTGAGTGTCAGCACAGACCCGCCCTCCCCAGCTCACAGCCCTCAAGCCTGCCACGCCCCCAGCCCCCTCCCTGGGCCATGCTGCTGGGCCCGGCTTTTCCTGCTGATTCATGCGTTGGAACTGTGGGGGCGGGGCTTGGAACTTGGAACAAAGTTCAGACATGGAGGGGCCGGCAGACAGCCTGGAATTCATACCAGATGTACCCGGAATGCGCAAGCGGAATGCCTGGCATTTGAGAGTCCTGGGGAAGCTGCCCAACCACCCTGCCCATACCTCCCTCCCCTCCAACCTTTGGTCCCCTGTCCTCTCCTCACAGTCCCTGGAGCCTCTGCTGACCTTCCAAACTCTAGACCTCCTCCCTTCCTCACTCTTCCCCAGATGTAGGCCCCCAAAACTCTTCTTCCAGCTGAACTCCCTGGAAACGAGTCAGCTGGGCTGATCACTGAACTCATATTTCTGGACCTGAGGTACAACTTCTCACTTGGGACCTAAGCGACTGGTGGGATGTGTTCCAGGGTCCCAGGTCCTGCGCTCTCTGAATGCTGAGGAAGCTGCCCCTCCCTGCCCCCTGTGGGTAGCTGGGGAAAGGGGGGGGAGCACAGGCTTGGGTTTCTACAGCCTTCAGTTCTTAAAGAGGAGCAAAGAAGTATGTTTAGAGCTGCCTCTTGCTTCTCACTGAAGTTAACAGCTCCTGCAGGCTCAGGTTAGAGCCAAGAACCCCTCATTAGAAGGTGGAGTATCTGCTGGGACTGGACTTTGACAGCCAGTGGGACAGTATCCCTGTGACATGGCCCTGCTCAGATCTTTCCCATCTTTCTTCCCTTTCCCTCAGGAGCCTGTACCTCCCACATCCTCACCTGGCTGAGCCGCAGTAGTTCTTCAGTGGCAAGCTTTATGTCCTGACCCAGCTAAAGCTGCCAGTTGAAGAACTGTTGCCCTCTGCCCCTGGCTTCGAGGAGGAGGAAGAGGAGAAGGAGCTGCTTTCCCCCTCGTCTGGAAGGTGACAGAGCTGGGGCTGGGAAGGTCTGGACAGCGGGAGTGATGATACCTTTTGGCAAAGGGAACCCTGTTCAGTTGGAGAGCCTTCACCTAGATTGGCCCAGCAAGAGAGAAGCATTTCAGGTTAGAGACCGTGGCTGAATTGGGGAATAGATGGCTCTGACTACGTGAGGCTAGTTGATCTTTGTGTGACAATGGGAAGAAGTGGAGCAAAGAAATATCTTTCTTGATCCTCCTTCCTTGTCCCCAGTTCTTTCCTACTGGCCGTTCCAGGTGAGGTCCTAAAGTCAGTTTCCTCTTGAGGGAAAAGGTCATACTGAGACTCCCATCTGAGTATCCGTCCCCTTGCTCTTACCTTTCCCTGTATTTCCTGGGACTGGCCCAGACTCTGGATTCGGGGATACTTTCCTATATGTAGGACCCTAGACCTCCTGTCTCAGCTTCTCCACCTGTGAGATGGGGAATCACACAGTAGAGTGTGCATGAGGGAATCAGAAGCCCGCTTGTGCAGACAGAGCCTGGGCTCTCCTCCCCCTGTGGGTGGGAACAAAACAGCTTTTCACATAAGCTGTTGCCCCTCCTCCATCCATGACTGTAACCACAGGAGCTGTTGTGGGGTGGGGTGGAGGGAGGGGTAGGGTTAGATGAATGCAAGGGGCTAGTAGGAGTCGGTCTCCACACGGAGTTTCCACCATGCACAGGTGGCCTCAGGCTTCCCCTGCCACCCACAGCAGGAGTGCAGCCCGTGATGGGCCTCTAGCTGCCGCTGCTGTTTCTTCCCTCACTTTGCTTTTCGGGATAGTGTGTGAGATCAGCTCAGGCTTGTACAGGCAGGAAATTCTACCCTCCAGCAACCAGGAGAGAGAGGTTGTGGGATGCACCCCCTCTGGGGCGTCAGGCAGTGTAAACCTGCCACCCCCAGCTCCTGATCCAGTCTCACTCTTGGGCTCAGGTTCTGACGTGATTCAGCTTTGGCCTTGTCTCCCGGCCTGAACGTGGCCACCTTCAGGGGCTACAGAAAGCTGTTTGTTCTGCTTTGGGGCAGCAGGTGTGCAGGGAGCTGGGTCCTGTTCTCCATTTATGACAAACAGAGATTTAGGGGACAGGAGATCATTGACCCCATTATTCTGCAGCCTAAGCTGGGTGTATGTGGGACTGCAGTAGAGGAGGGTGGGCAGACGGAATCCACTCACAGGCTACAATGAAGATCACTCTGTCCCTGGACGTTGCTTCTGTCCTTTCTTCCCCTCCTTGCTTCACTGGCCACAGTGTCCCTCCCACCCTGGGTATGTGACTCTGCCGTCCTCTTCCATCATGGAGCAGAGATGAGGAGGAGCAGCCTGGAAACACAGAGACAGGCAGAAGACCAGTGAAGGACCAGGCCCAGAGAGCACAGGGCCCTGTCTGGGCACCCCACAGAGTGGGCCATAAAGGCCAGAAGGACCCCTGGAGGAGGGAGGACAGCCAGCCTCCATCAAGGACAAGCTTCCAGCCGTCTACTTCATTCGCCATTTCTCTCCAGTCTTTCCACCTCCCTCAGAGATGTAAGACCATATTAAAGCGTCCTGTGGCTTCATCCTCCTATTTCCACCTCTTCTCTGTAATTCTATCCTGCAATTTTTTATCTAAGTAGCCTCAAGGAGCAAGAGCCAACTGTGAAAGGACTCACACAGGAAACTCATAAACAAAATTTAAAAGGATAAAACCATGAAAAAAAATGTGTTTCATTAGTAAAGAAAGGCAAATATAACTGGAAGTATTTTTCCCTTAGCAAACTATAACAGAAAAAAATAAGACCCAGTATTGGCAAAGGAGTATTAAAATAATAACACTCCCATGCGTTGCATATGGGGGTACAAATTGGTGCAGCCTTCTGGATGTTGGTTTGGTAATATGTATTAAACACCCTAAAAGTTTCTATAGCCTTTGACCTAATAATTCTACATTTGGCATTTTATCCTAAGAAAATAATTAAAGATTAAGGTATAAGATGTTCATCCCAGCATTGCAATAGAGAAAAATATAAAGCAACGCTGTGACTGGGAATTCATTTCTTTCCTGCTGTAATGAAAATTTGCAATAGGGAATTGCTTAAGTAAATTATTGTATATCCATCCAGATGGTGGAGTACTGTGCAGCCATTAAAAGTTATGTAGAAAAACATTTGCCTGGAAAGAAAAATGCTTTTTGAATATTAAAAAGGTTATAAAAATAGTGTTATGTGATCTCAATTTTCATTTTTAAGATATGGGTGTATACTTCTATACATAAACAGATAAAAAAGACTGAGGACAAACCCCGAAACGTTAATAATAGTGGTTATTTTTGGATGGTGGAATAAAGTAATTGTAATTTTCCTCTTTGGTTTTTCTGTAATTTCCAGATTTTCGACATTACTGCATTTCTACAGTAAATGTGTATGGCTTTCATATAATAAAATTTAAAAGAATCAGTGTAATTTTTTTTAAAAAAGCCCATTTGGAGAGGTGGGTGTGGAAGAATGAGGGGATGCCCCAGCCCCTTGGACTTCATGGGGTTCTGGTGGAGAAAGGAGGTTGTGAGAATGTTTAGGGGAGCACCTAATGGTTTATCAAGTTCATTCTTTGGGAGTAGCTGGAATCCACCCTCTCAGTGTACAGGAAGCAGCTCTCTGAATTGCTGGCTGTCAGCCAGCTAAAGAGGTGTGGAGTAGAGTAAGACGGAAGGAAAACAGTAAAAACCTGTCACTCTTCAGGCGATGGGGGCTGGGGGAAGATATTCCTCACCATGCTGAAAGGTTCTAGAATCTTAACAGTCCTACTGCCGAAAACAGGATGGGTCTTTTTCTCTTTGATTCTGCCTAACCTTGAGGTGGCCTTGTGTGACCTCTCCTTGCCTTCTAAGATTGGCAGAGAGATTCTTCCATCCACCCAACAGGTACCAAGCCCTGGGGGAGGGGTGCTTTTCAAGACCATAGTGCTGAGAGGTTTCCTTTTGCCTCCCCTTCCTAATAATAAGGCTTCTCTGGAGGGCCCCCAAAAAAGGTTGGAGGAGGAGTCCCCAGAGGGTCGCTTCTCCATACTGGAAGCTGTTCTTTCTGAGAGGTACTGTGTAAGGAGGCAGGACTCGTGGAACTATAGGGTTGCTGGGATGCCTTAAAGTTCTGGAAACCCCGGGAGGTAGAAGGAGTGGTTCCAAGAAAATGAGGTGTCCCCTTCCCCACCACTGAGACGGGGGAGGGGTGCGGGGCGTTGCGGCGAGGTTTAAACAAGTGGGAGTGGGTTAGCGCTGGCCTCTAACTTCAGGGCTGTGAGGGTGGGGTGGGAGGAATGACCAGCAGGTGAGAGGTTAGAGTAGGGAAAGGGTGAAAGTTAGGGGGGCGGGGCCTCCGGGAGTGTCAGGTGAGATTAGAGACCTATTTCCGGAGCTCCGAGAGGTGTGGGACACATGGAGTTGGCGAAGACCCCTAATGACATCAACAAAGTTCCCCTGAGCTTCGTTGCAAAGCTTGGTCCTCGGGAGCCCCCAACCCGCCATTCCCCGCGAGGGCGGAACGCGACCGGTTGCCGTGGCTCCAGGGGCGGTGGCCCCATGGCTGCTCCAATCACCGCCCAGCTCAAGGATGGGGGCGTGGACGAGCCCTGGAAAAGTTATAGCCAATTCCAAAGGCGGGGCAGGCGGGGGAGCCCAGGGACCCCGCCCTGCCAAGAAAGCCAGTCCACAGTCCCCGCAGGGGGCGTTGGATGCGTCCGGGCCCTCAGCGCAAGGGCCCGAAGGACTGATCCGGACCTAGTCAGCCCGCCAGGCCATGGCGCCCTCAGGGCTCCTTGTGGCCGGCGCCTCCTTCGCCGCCTTCCGGGGGCTGCACTGGGGACTACGGCTGCTGCCCACGCGGAGATCTGCTGCTCAGGACTGTTGTAAGCGGCGGAGCATCTGTGTCTCCCTGGTGCACAGCCTGCTCACTGGGACCAGGCTGCTGCTCGGGTGGGGTGCAGGGCTTAGAGGTTCGGGAGGCAGCGGCGTGAGGGTAAGAGTGTAGGAGGCTGAGATTAGAAGACCCGCGGGCACCTTTAAAATTGATGTGAGACCTTGAGAGTCTGAGATGGGTGAAGGTGTGGATGGATGGGCCGGTGTGCGCAGAGGGAGAATGGGACCTGAGTCTGCACACGCTGACAATGGCCCCCCATCTCCTCCAGGCTGTCGCGTACCTTCAGATGGCCATCCACCTGATTCATGGCCACCCGCCCTGGTGCTGTGGCTGTATCTGTGGGTAAGTCTGCAGGGAAGGCTGGGGGGCAGCCTTCCAGCGGTAATTCCAGGCCCCCACTCTCCTCCCCTGTAGGAGTTAAATGTTTCTGGCAGTTTTACTGTGGGAAACTAAAGATTTGGAAAAAGGAAGGGATGGAGATTCCTCTCCTGGCTGTACACCAGCTTGACGGAAGTCTAATACCTCCCCAACCCCCTTTCCCACAGATTATTTCCTGGCCTATGGAGCTGACATGCTGTGGAACCCGATCTTGGGGCAGGCCTGGGACCTTCTCTGTCACCATTTGGTGGTGAGACTTGAGGAGAGGCAAGACGGAAGGAAGGCATACCCAGCTCAGGGTCCCCAATCTCTCTCCAGCTTTCCATCTTAATGACTTCCCAGAGTCTCTGATCCCCACTGGCGCTTTATCCTCCCAACCTTGAGCTGAACGAGGGGCAGGAATTTGACTGTTGGTCCCAGCTGGGAGTCTGAGCACTGCCTAAGACACTTGGATTCCCGCAGGTGTCCAGTTGATCAGAGAAATGTTGAATATGGAGGTTTTCTGAGAAGGGGGAGCCCCTGTGCGGGGATTGGGATGGGGCATGGAAAGCCCAGGGATGGAAGTTGTTGGGTACTGTGCAGATGCTGCAGCCCCAGGGGTGATAGCCTCTGTGCCAAGGCTGCTTCCATCCTGTGGAAAGGTTTTAAGGCCATTCAGGCCCCCAAAATAAGGGTAAGCATAAAGATCAGGTGTTTAGGAGGGGTGCCACAAAATCCTTGGGGGTCTCTCTCTTAAGGACTAGGATATGGGGATGTGATGGGTGGCAGGTCATAGAACGTCCTCTGATCTCTGACACTGGCTTCCCAGGTAGTGAGCTGCCTCAGCACCACCAATCTGTCTGGCTACTACGTGGGCTTCTCTGTGGTGTCTCTGCTTCTAAAGCTGAACTCTGCCTGCCGGCACCTACGGAAGTTGCTATTGCTTTCTCACCAGGTCCCATCCCTGGCCTTTATCTTGGCCAGCTGGGCCACCAAAGCCCTTTTCCACCTGGTGCCATTGGGGTGCATGAGTCTGTGACTTATCCAGCAGCATCACTGGGTGCCAACTGCTCTGGTTGTCTTTGGTGGAACTGGGCTGGTCACTGTGGGTGCCATGATCATCACAGTGGGTATTTGCATTTTGGTCAGTGATGTCCTGCAGTCTCGGCCCCACCCACCCATCCCTGGGCACAAGGAAACCAGGGGCACCAGGACATGTTGTGATGGTGAGCCTGTCACCAAGGATGATTGCACTCTCAGCCTAAAAGACTAGAGAGAAGCCTCAGCCTCCTCTTCAGCCGGCCCTGGGGGAGGTATGACCAGGAAAAGGAGATGGTGGTTTTCAATGCACAGTCCCCCAGGAGGGTAAGGACTGGGATGGATTTTCAGTATCTCACTTCCCCTTCCAGCTAACTCACACCCCTCCCCCATTCCGAGGATCTAAGAAGAAATGCTGACGTTCCTGGATGGATGGACTGGGCTTTTGTTCTCTGAATTCCATCATCAAATGACCACCTTTTCCAGCAAACTAACTCAGGAGGTACAGCCAGTGCTACCAATAAAAGGTGGCAGGAGGCAGGAAGCCAGACAAAACTGTCAATGGAAACAGAAACCCTTGCTTTAGCACAGGGACAGGTGAAGATAGGTGAGGTCCTACTAGGATCAGGGAGATGTAGTATGGAGGGGGTAGAGTCAGAGGGAAGACAGACCTCACCTGTGACCAAATTCTGGCAGTGGGAAGAGGGCATATCAGGTGCCATCTGTAGCCAGTAGGGATAGACATAATAGCTGCAAAGGATAGAGCATGGGTCTAGGTCTGTGTCTTAGGGCAGTACTGAAGTCCTGAGCTGTAGCAGGAACTCAAACGTCTGTTCAGGTTGCCCAGTGTAGGGTCTTCCCACACCCAAGCTTTCGTGGAAGAACGAGGGCAGAGGCAGAGGCAGATGAGGGAAGGCTTCCATTTGGCTGCAGAAGAATTAAGGAATATTTGACCCTTTTCTGGGATTCATTTGCAATCTCTCCTTTCTCCCCATCACTTCTGCGACAGCTTTTCCTGTTGTACCAGACCCCTCCTTTCTTCAGACAGAACGTCCAGGTTATGAGAAGTGTAGAGCAGATTAAGATTACTATTCGACTAAACAATGGACAGAAAGAGATAACCCTTAATCAGCCACAGAAAAGATACATGTGCAAAAGCAAGAGACAGGGATATTAAAACAAAAAGTCCTGCCAAAAAGCTGCGCTACAGGAAGACAAAGGGGGCGATGAGACAGACAGACATAGATTAAGGGACGGAAAGAAAGAGAAGGATTCGTTGCATAGAAGAGACAGAGGTGAAGAGAGATGGAGGTCAAGATAGAGAATCCTTGGCAGAAATCTCGAGAAAGACTGTCGTAGATGCTGAGAGGAACCAAAACCATAGAACTGGTAAAACGGTCATAAAGAGGATAAGAAAAATAGAAATAGAGGCTGACAGGAAGGGACCCCAAGGGTGGAAGTCACCGATAGTCTAGACAGTGAAATAGAGTGAGTGACAGAGAGGAACAACCAGACTCAGGAGAGATGGAAGTGATAGTGGCAGGTGGAGAGATTAGCAGAGCGAGAGAAGAGAGGTGGAAATAGAGAGAGGGGGAGATTAGTCAGGGGAGATGAGAAGCAGAAGGCGGAGGAAGCTGTCAATGGAAAGATTCACTGACATAAAAAGAAAGCAGGAGATATGCTGAGTTGGAGACAGGCAGAAAGACAAAGGACAAACAGCTACAGTGCAAAACACAAGACAGAGACTGACAAGAACTGATAGGCAGAAACTGGCAGGAAGATGAGGAAAAGTCAGAATCAGGGGTGTAACTGAGATAGAAGAATAGGCAGAGGGACTGGGGAGAACCACAGAGAGAAAAAGGCGGGGCAGGGTAGAATGATTAAATAGGCATCCAAAGGAAAGAACAAGGAAAAGGAGGGGACACAGACTTGAAGAGAGAAAGAAAGAAGTAATAAAGATAGGGAGAAAAAGAGAGAGGCATTGTGAGAGATCCCCATCACCGAGTCATTAAAACCAAGGGGCAAAGGGGAAAAATAACAGACAGGAGAAACTGAGACAGTTGGAAGTAAACACAGGCAGAAAATAAGAGCATAGGATTTAAATGTAATCGGACTAAAGCTGGAGAGGCAAAGGTATAGAAGTTGAGATGGAGAAACTAAGTAGAATTGTGTCAGAATTTGTCCTTAACAGAAGTAGTATCTTCAAAACTCAATTTGTCATCTTTTTTTTTTTTTTTTTAGGAAGATTAGCCCTGCGCTAACTGCTGCCAATCCTCTTTTTGCTGAGGAAGACTGGCCCTGAGCTAACATCCATGCCCATCTTCCTCTACTTTGTATGTGGGATGCCTACCACAGCAAGATTAGCCTGGAGCTAACTGCTGCCAGTCCTCTTTTTGCTGAGGAAGACTGGCCCTGAGCTAACATCCATGCCCATCTTCCTCTACTTTATATATGGGACGCCTACCACAGCATGGCTTGCCAAGCGGTGTTGTGTCCGCACCCAGGATCCAAACCGGCGAACCCCAGGCTGCTGAAGCAGAATGTGCACACTTAACTGCTGCACCACCGGGCCGGCCTCTCAATTTGTCATCTTAACTGAATGCCTTGATTAACAAAAACATTGTCTTGAGTTTTCAAAGAAAAAGAAATGTGACACACCCATGGGAGGAATCTGTTCCCTAAGTATGTGTTGAGGTCAATATTGATTCGTTTCGAGCCCTACACCTTTTCTTTTGCCACTGTCAGAAATTCATGGTCCAGGCGAGTACTCCTCTTGGTAATACTTGATAGTATCTATGAGAGGTGCCCAAGAACTTGATTAGGGAAATATGGCTGTGTCTGTGGGTTAACTAGTAAAACCCATACAGGAAGGGTGAGATTAGCTACTAGCGTAGGTAGGACGTAAGCGAACACCTGAAGAGTTTGGGATCACACACAAATTTCCACATGGTGACCCAGTGAAACTTCAGCAGGGCAGGACTGGACTGTGATTATAAGTGAGTAAGTGGAATCTCATCAACTGGACCAGTTATAGATGGTGTGGACCAGATATAGATGATGCGAATCAAGGAGACATGGTCAACTGGGACCCTAGAAAAGAGAAGCTCAAAAGTACAGAGTCTGGCAGATGCTACATTTGGTACAATGAGTTGGTCTGGTCACCATGGTGGTGCCATATCAACCTCAATGTGACCTGGTAAAGTGGTCCTCAAGACTAACTCTATGCCTACCCAGCTACTGGCTGACAAATTATTTGTCTTCTGGCACAGGGGAACGGCTCGCCTGAGTCAGGGATATTGATATTTTATGGTCTCGGAACACTCTCCAGATCATAAATTAATAAATTGCTATGTAAATAATTGCATCAGGCTTTTGTGAGTGTGGTTACTTTCAGTCACTTTTCTTGACTCCAGTGGTGTCCTGATTTATAACACAATGCTAGATTGTGGAAACTTTGCCTTGGGAAGGTCTCCTCTTGGCACTAACTTTTTTGTTTCAATTATTTTATTGAGGTCATAATGGTTTGTAACATTGTGTAATTTCAGGTAGATATTATTTATCAGTTTCTGTATAGACTGCTTTGTGCTCACTACCAAATAGACAATTTTTATCCGTCACCGTATATATGTGCCCCATTACCCCTTTTGCCCACCCCCTGACACCCTTCCCCTCTTGTAACCAATAATCTGCTCTCTTTATCCATGTATTTGTTTATCTTCCACATATGAGTGAAATCATTTGGTGCTTGTCTTTTTCTGCCTGGCTTGTTTAGCTTAACATAGTACTCTCAAGGTCCATCCATGTTGTTGCAAATGGAGTGATTTTGTCCTTTTTTTATGGCTGATTGTATTCCATTGTTTATATACACCACATCTTCTTGATCCAGTCATCAGTTGCTGGGCACTGGTTGCTTCCATGTCTTGGCTGTTGTGAATAATGCTACAGTGAACATAGGGGTGCATAAGTCTCTTTGAATTGTTGGTTTCAAATTCTTTGGTTAAATACCCAGTAATGGGATAGCTGGATCATTTTGTATTTCTATTTTTAATTTTTTGAGGAATCTCCATACTGTTTTCCATAGTGGCTGCACCAGTTTGCATCCCCACCAGCAGTGGATGAGGGTTCCCTTTTCTCCACATCCTCTGCAACATTCGTTATTTTTTGTCTTGGTAAGTATAGCCATTCTAACAGGTGTAAGGTGATATCTCATTGTAGTTTTGATTTGCATTTCTCTAGTAATTAGTGATGTTGAACATCTTCTCATGTGCCTATTGGCCATCTGTATATCTTCTTTGGAAAAATGTTTGTTCAGATCTTCTGCCTATTTTTTGATCAGGTTGTCTGGTTTTTTGTTGTTGAGTTGTATGAGTTCTTTATATATTTTGGAAATTAACCCCTTGTCAGATATATGCTTTGCAAATATTGTCTCCCAGTTGATGGGTTGTCTTTTCGTTTTGTTCATGGTTTCCGTTTTGGAACTGACTTTTTAACCTACAAAGCCCTAAAGTGTCTTAAGATCCTCTACTGTCAAAAAGCAAACCCAATTTATTCAGTAGAAGGGACTTAGAGCGAGAGAATGGATTCAGACAATTTGGAGTGATTCTCAATGCCAAAGGTTGAAACCAAAAGAATCCTTTAGCCAAATTGGTCTTGAGTTAACAAGAAAATTAATTAAACAGAAATCTCTATAACTGAGTTGTCAGGGCTTTATTACATGCAGAATCTGGATTTGTCGGGCTAAAAATTTGAAGCTTTCAGTCTGCAAGAGATTGTGCAAGGGAAGTTATTCTTTAACAAGAAGCTCTTGTATTGAAAGAAAATGTTGGTTTAGAATCATTATCTTAAAGTCATAGCATCCCAGGCTGACCATTTGTTGTGTTCCTACCATGGCATCACCTTTTATACCTGATAGCACTTAATCCCACACAACAGAGCCTCATCCCATTTTCTAGATGAGAAAACCAAGGTAATTTACTTAGGGTTACCTAGCTAGTTAGTGACAGGGCCTGGACTCAAACCTGCATAGGTTTTTTCTATTATACCACCTGTGGCCAACGTCTGCTGGTTTTGCCTGCCTAGCTGTGTAGGGATTTTCCTTTGAAAACCACTCCTCTCTCACTCCCCATTCAATGAGCATGTGACCCAGGTCTAACCAATCAGAACACCATATCCTTTTTCCCTGAAATGAGTTCATGATGTAAGCAGAACCGAGGAACCTCAGCACCTTGAACTCTGAGTTCTGCTAGAACTTCTGGCTAAGATGCACTCAAAAGATGGAGAGAGATTTCTAGCATCTTTCAAGTAGCCAGATCAAGCTCTGTGTGAAGCCAGAACTCCCCCTGGACCATTCAGTTACATGAGCCAAAAAACTCCAGGATTCACTTAAGTGAGCTGAGTTTTTTCACTTGTAACAATGAGTCTTTATTAATACATTACCTTCAAGATTATCCAGGCTTATCATTTCATTTTGCAGAAAATTGAAGCCTAGAAAACTTAAGTGACTCATCCAAGAACACCCAGCTAGTTTGTGGCATGGCTAGAATTAGAACTGAGGTCTTTGATTTGGTTCCAGTCTCCTTCTTATACATTATTTTGCCTCTTTCTTTATAGAAAGGCTGAGGAGTGGAGAAGCTTCATGGTGCAAAGATAGGAGCCAGTTGACAACTGAAGATCAATCAAATCAGATAAATTGCTTCTGAAGTATTTATAAGTCAGGATGCTTCCGTTTAAAAGCCAGACTTCTATTCACCAAGTATTGATTGCTGCACTTTTCAAGAATGCAGGAACTGTGCAGGGCAGAAGTCTGTTTCAGCTTTCTCTTGCAGACATGGACACCACTTAACTTGGTGTTGTGAGCACATTCTTTCCCTGCCTCTAACCTTGTCAGGGACAAGCCTTTACTTGCCACATCTTCTGCAAGAACTGGACACAGAAGTGATTCTCAGACTGAGTGAGCTCCTTCAACCGAGATAAAGATGCAAGCCACATGGGCTTTAGCAGTAAAAGAATGGGAGCTCATTTGCGTAGCTCAGTATGAGGGTCCCTGGAGAGGACTCCCTGCCTACCACCACCCAACCTCCAAAAACCAGACTCTGGGGTGGTATCTGACATTCCAGGGATCGTAAATTATTTCTTTGGGTTGAGCTTTGCCGTCTCATTCTGGCCTGCCTGCCTGTGCCTTTGAAAGGACTCCTTCACCTCTCGGAATTTCACTGGTCGGCATTGCTGATCCCTGGTGCTGAGAGACTGAAACAGCCCCAGATCCCAGGTCAGGGCACCTCTAGAGGAGGCCAGAGAACCCTGAAGAAGGGTGCCACAAATTCCTGCTTCTGCACTGATCCAAAGCAACACTGCTCCTCCACTCCGCACAGCAGCTTGTCCAAACATAATTTTCTTCAAGCTCCTGCCCTTCCTTCCCTAACCTCAGCTTTATCATAAAATCCAAATGTTTCCACCCTGGCAGCAAGCAGGGAGGGGGCAGGGGGAATGGAGGACAGAGGGGGAGAGAAACAGAGGGGTGCAGCCTAGAGCAGCTGCAGCAGCATTTCCTTGACATAGATTGAATTTTAAAAATTCATATGAACTTTGCATTCTGCTTCAAAATCCATTCCTATCTGTTTTAATAAAAAATACCATTTGAAATAACTTAAAACTTATCATACTTGTTTTTACAAAATGTCAAGTGAAACTGTCAGTTTTACAATCCAGGAAGATGTGCCATTTTATTCTGCAGTTCCAACTATCACCGGCACACTTTACTTCTCTTTATTTCTCCTTTCAACAAGTATTTATAAAGGACCTACTAGGTGTGAAGCACTTAGATAGAATAGTGAGTAAACAAGCCACAGCCCTGGCTTCAGGGAGCCTGCAGTCAGGATTTTGTTAAAGTGGGAAACTGGGAAAATAGGGGTCATCGAAAGGAGGGAAACCAGAGATAAGGGATGTAGAAACAGGTCATCCAATGGCCCACAGCCTGAGAGTGAACAGATGACTGCAGAGGATGAGACTGTTGCCTTCTGACATCCAAAGTGTTGTCCAGAACCTGACTCAGGGTCTTCCCTCCCAAACCTGCATGCTGTCCAGCATTCTCTCAGTCTGTGCATAGCATTGCCATCAACTCACTGTGAGTCAGCAGCTTAGCAATCACCCTCAAGCCATGCTACCGCACCTCCCACTCCATACACACACATCTAATTAATTACGGAGTTCAGAATGGCTTTCACATCCGTCCATTCCTTTTCCATCTCAGCTGTCTCACGCTGGTCAGAGTTACTGTCATCTCTAGCCTGGGTGACGTGA